CTCAAGCCAATAAAGTACTTTTGAGATATTTGCGGCCCAATAGTAATATCTGAAATTATGAAGCGCTAATCCACCTTGAGTTTTCGGTCTTTGGAGAAATTCCTTCCGAATTCTAGGTGTTTTTCCACCCCATATAAATGATGAGATCAGTTTGTCTAAATTCTGAAAGAAAGATTTAGATAGAAAAATTGGGATACATTGGAACAAGTACAGAAATCTTGGTAAGATGTTCATTTTTACGCAGTTAATTCTTCCTGCAAGGGAAAGAAACAACAAGTTCCATTTTTTGAGGTCTAGTTTTAGTTTTTCAATTAAAGGGGCAAAGTTCTCTTTGTAAAGGTTAGTGAATCCCTGTGTGATATTTATCCCTAAGTATTTAAAACCTGATAGAGACAGTTTGAAAGGTATGTCCTTTTTTGTAATTTGGAGGCCCTCATTGTTTGTGGGAAAACAGACACTTTTTGAATAGTTTAACTTATAGCCGGTGAAATTTCCAAACTGATTTAGTATCTTAACTACATGTGGAATACCTATAATCGGATCCGAAAGGTACAACAGCATATCATCGGCATATAAGGATACTCTGTTCTCTATGCCCCTACTGTTGATACCTGTGAAATGCTGTGAGCATCTCAACGCTATGGATAGGGGCTCAATGGCAAGAGTAAAGAGTAAAGGGCTAAGAGGGCATCCTTGCCTTGTACCCCTCGATAGGGGAAATGATTTTGAACGTACTCTATTTGTGATCACTGACGCCTTAGGGGAGAAGTATAATAATTTAATCAATGAGAGAAACTGTGTGCCAAAACCAAATCTTTCCAACGCAGAGAATAAATATTTCCACTCCACCCTGTCGAATGCTTTTTCAGCGTCTAGTGAAATGACGACGTGAGGGACAGAATCATGGGAAAGTTTAGATGAGTGGATTACCCCTAGCAATCTCCGGATATCACTAAAAGAATGTCGGCCACTGACAAAACCTGTTTGGTCTTTTGAAATCAAATTTTCTATTACTTTATCTAATCGTAAAGCAAGAATTTTTGCCAGGATTTTGATATCGGAGTTTAGGAGAGAAATTGGCCTATAA